GATTAGATTAATAGCATAATCGATTAAAATGCATCTGATTTGACTTACTCTATATATAGAGCGTGATTTGAAATTTTGTAAGACAATTGTGATTAACATTTTTCATATCAATTTCAGATTGAGCTTTGAAGTTTTACAGAAGAGAGAAACGCTCCAAGAAGCAAGAATTTTTGTGGTGTACAAGTCTTGAAGATTTCTTGAGAACCAAGATTGATTGATTCGTAAAGTCTAATCGTTCTGCACAACAGAGGTGTTTATTGCTTGATCAGAAGCTTTAGCAAACGCTGAGTATTGTTGTTTCCCCATGGGTGTATACAGGCAGAAGAATGTGGTTCTTGACTTTGAGAAGGGTCTCAAAGGGGTGACTGTAGGAGAGGATTGTTCTTGCTGCTAGTCTTTTTGTATTTGCCTATATTAGATTTGTGAGTTAGAGAGGTGATTTACATTTTGACAGTGTGGTCGTTGTAAAGTCCTTGTTCTAAAAATTCAGATCTTTATAGTGCATTGGCTTCCAATCTCGGGTTGAGTGGAAAGACACTAGATGTAGGCAGATTGGCCGAACCAGTATAAAACTCAGAGTTTGAATTTTCTTATCCCTATCTCTCTACATTAAATCGATTATACTCTGTCTGTATTCTAATACGCATACTGTTACATTGCATACATTTTTACTTGCGATTCAAGAAAAGTTTAAAGACTTATTGTTTTGCGAAAAAGATTTCAAAAGCGATCAAACACCAAAAGGCCTGAATAACATACGTTAAAAACTTTTTCTGTGGTAGTGCCTACACTCTCTTACTATACTCATAGATCCTAAAACTCTCTTATTGACTTTTTCATGGAAATTTTTTTTATGTGAAATCTCTAAATAATAAAGAATTGATTCTAACCATAAAAAACATTCAAATCACCACTTGAGTTTTGCTTACTTGTCCAAAAATCCATCACTAGTACAGTTAAAGGAAATGGCACCGGTTATTTTCGCTGATAGGCACCGGTTCCTGAACCGAGGCATATTCAGGAGAGGTAAAAAGTGGTAGACTTTATGCCTCGGTTTTGAAACGAGACAAAAAATGGTACGATTCGGCCTCGGTTATTAGAACCGAAATTGTTCCTCTCCCTCTACTGCCTCGGTTGGAGGCTGAACCGAGGCAGTAGGGTCTTTTTTTTATTTTTTTTTTTGTTATGATTTTCCTAGACTGTCATAGAGTATTCTGGCAGTGGCACAGATAATAATCACAAACTATGAGCGTTGTTATGCTCAACGTAATTTCAAAGACTGAAAACATGCACACAAATAATCTACCTTAGTTAATTTTCACTAACACATTACACACTAACTTGCCTAGAGAGTTCACATCTTCGTTGCAAATTACACAAATAAGAAACTTTGAACAAGGAGAGAACTCGATTAAGCAAAACCATGGAGTTCTTTTCTCCGTAAAAGACTGATATACACATTAGACCAGCTCTTCATTTTTCTCCACAACCCTCACCCCTTTTGCAGATCTGAGCACATTAGCCTGCTTTGAAAATGATGGCAAATTAACACAGGAATTTAATTTTGGTGCCTCGGGGTCGGTCTCCTTGACAAAGTTAATAGCACCTCCAATGAACTTGATCATGCTCAGATTCAAAACCAGACCAAACCAGACCAAACAAACGTACAAACAAAGCAAGTAAAACAAATCAAAACAAAATCTCAGATTCAAAAGATCATTCTTAGATTCAATTCAACAAATCAAAACAAAATCTCAAAAACCAAATGCAAAACTCTACTAAAACCCGAAGCAGCTACGGTCAAAAGGTCTCCAGCGACGGTCAAAATGACCACCACCACCGCTTGCTCTTTCAGAGCGAGACCGAGAAAGCGGAGCGAGGAGCTAGGTTTTCGTTCAATTTGGGGAAAAAATTTTGGGAAATAAGAGGCTTATATGCCTCGGTCCTTCTTGGGCCTGAGGTAGTAGAGGCTTATACGCCTCGGTCCTTCCTACCAACCGATGCAGTATACCCCTTCCACCTCGGGTTTCTCTTAACCGCGTCAGAAACCGTGTCAAAAACCACTAATTAGGCACCGGTTGCTTTCACAACCGAAGTGGTAGCCCTTTTTGGCACCGGTCTAGTCTGAACTGAGGCCTATAAGGTCTCGTTAATTACGAAACTGTCACCGTGTCTGAATAAACAGCAGTTTGGTGTAAAGAGAGGTCTATTGTGCGAGTTTAAAAGCACATTTTGTAATAGTGCATATTCCATATTAACAATAATAAACCCCGTATCACATAATTACAATATCACTTATGCGCATCAATATATCAAACAAGAACTAAAAAATCAAGCAACCTGAAGCTTGGAGCTTAATAAAAACATTAGTCACCCACATTATTTGAATATTATATGCAATTATACGAATATATTCTAATAAATTTCGGTTAAAATATACTTAAAAAGTAATATAAACTAAAATTAATTTATACCTAAATTATATCTCTAAGTTCTAATATAATTTCTATAAATTCTTAATTTTAACTTTTGAAAACAAATCATTTTTTTATTTTTATTTTTCTTCATGAAAAAAGTGTTCATGGAAGTTTATTTATAGACTTGATATATGACATAGTTTATCTTTGTTTCAAAGCAAGGTATTGAAAAGAAAATATTCTGCTTAGCTATAAAGGCTTCCAAATATTCTAAATGAAATTATTCTCTACTTTATAAAGTGCTTCCCTTCCATCACAAGAGAAAGACCAGAAAATTTCCCTCTACCACTCTCTCAAATTATTTTGAGTCTCGTTGGATCAATGACAAGTTCTAAGAAGCTCCAAGTTGGAACAGATGATCAAACTCCACATCAATGGTGTGTTCCACTTGGAGAAGATGTTTTCAGAAGATTGTTGAGCCAGGCCAATCCAGCACAGCTCAAGATTTTTGGTGATGGCTCACTTTTCAGTCCAATGTTGTTTGGAAAGTTCTTTGATCCTTCTGATGCCTTCCCTCTATGGGAGTTTGAGTCAGACATCTTGCTGTCTCATCTCTCCAACCACAACACTGTAGATTGGTATCAAACAGATGAAGGTTACATGTTAACTGCAGAAATACCAGGTATCACAAAGTTCTGCAATTACACCTACCGTTCTTGTTTTATAGTTGTTTTCATCATCTGAATGTGTTCAAAAAGTCATATAATGTTTTTAAAATCTGTAAATTAAAAAGCATAATGAATTTTATTATATCTTGGAGAAACTATGGGTGGAGACAAGGAAACCTCCACGCTTAGTATCAAATTCTTCTTTACCATATGATTCAATATTTGGAAATGTGAGAAATGTTAATTAACAATTTAATATTCCATTTATTATTTTAAACATATTTCAAGGCTTCACACATCAAACCTAATTAAAATGCATGTAAAATAAGTTAGCTGTTATAATTTTTTTAATTCCATTGTATTTAAATTGTTTTTACTCCTTTTAAAATGTATGAATTTTTATTTTAATTCCTATTAATTGTTTTTCTTTGTTTACATCTTTTCAAACTTTAAACTAATTATTTTGATTTCAAAAATCATTTTAAGATAGATAAATAATATATATTGTATATATCTTAATTTAAAAAAAATTATTTGGTGCTGTTATTATATCAATTATAGTAACATGCATACACTTTGCCATGATCATTTGATTTTTTTTAACAAATAAACACTAGTAAGTGACATATTAATTAGAATAATTTTCAAATAGATTATAATAATTTTCAAATTTAGAAGGAGTAAAAAAAATAAGGAATTATTTCAATAACAAAAAATAAAACATACTTATATATCACAACTTAAAACTTTAAATTTTATTTTTTATCATTGACAAAACTTGATTGAGAATCAGTAAAATTTGGTAATGTTAACTTCTTATTTAACTCTTATACACATAATTTTTAAAAGAGAAAGGTATGTTAGAAAATATAGAAACTTCTCATGTAACTAAGCATAGAGTTAATCAATCAATCAAATAACGAACCAAAAATGAAATTGAGTGATTGAGAATGAGATGAAGCCTGGGGTGGAAAAGTGATTTACTAGTATAACTCTAACTTTGATTTTGTTGAAACAGGAACTGAGATAAGTAACATTCAAATCCATGTTGATAACGGGAAGGTTGTGGAAATTAGTGGACAGTGGAAGCCACAAAAAGTTTCAAAGGCAAGTGATTGGAGGTGTGGCCATTGGTGGGAACATGGATATTTTCGAAGGTTAGAGATGCCAGAGAATGCAGATTTGAAGATTATTGAAGCTCACATTCGTAATGGAAGAATTTTGGAAGTAAGAATACCAAAGTGTTCTTGATGTGGTTTCATGCAGATCAAGTCATAGTAGAGGTTGTAACAGTATCTATTATATATATTTCACAAACATAGAACCATAATAGTATAACCATACTATTGGACAATTAATTTTAGTGAAATGTTTACAATCACAAATGTTTTTGAGATTGAGGTTGAAATTTTTTTTATAAATTGATCTCGTTAAGATATACTCAACATATTATATTAAAAAATAAGTTTAAGTCTAACTCACTTTTATAAAATTGGTTTATAAGACGAGTTTGTACCCTAATATATATTTTGTCTCTAGAACAAAAAGGGAAGTCCTATATTAGGTCTCAATTTCCGGGTATAAGGAACAAATTGAATTAATATAGTTTGTTTCATTCTTTTCAACATATTCCATAATATATGTTAAAATATATTTTCCGTAGATATTATAGGCATGTGGCGTACAAGTGCTGCTGGCCTTTTCAAAAATAGTGAATGACATACCCAATTTCATGTTTGGAATCAAGAATTCTCAAATTAAATGTCTAAAGAAAATATGAGGGACACAAATATCAAGGTATACAATTTAAAATTCAAGGTTCAATATAACAAAAAAGTTGAATAGATGAAAACAAAGAAAAAAGTTAGTAGAAGCATGTGAAAAAAAATACAAAAATCAAATATATATTTACTTGAAAAAAAATATAAAAAAATTAATTGTAATTTTCGCTCCGTATTGTACAGAATCCACAGTTTTGATTTCTAAATTTTATCTTCCTGATTTTAGTTTTAAGTTTTAAGTTATATAATTTTGGTCCACAAATTTTCTTTTTACAAAATTTGATCTCTTAATTTTAAATTATACATAAGTTTTCTTTTTCAATTTTTAGTTTTAAAAGTATATCACTGTCAAATTACCTTCGATATCTAGTTTTTATATAGCTGCTATAATTGTTAATAATGTAATGAAAGTTATAAGTATCATGCGTTTTTTTTTTCTCACTGTGATGTTTAAAGTAGTAAAAAATTATGAATAATTAAACTCAAAATGGAACATAGTCACTCATAATTGAAAACTAAGAGATTAATTGCGTAAACAAAATTTAAAACAAAATTACGAATAATTATAAATTAAGGGACTAAAATTGTAGAAAACAATTAGAACCAAAACTNCAAGATATTGTAAACTAGTGATTATGATTAGGCTTTCTTCGCGGAGACATCGGGTTTAAAGTAATTTAGAAAGTGACATTCACATTAATGAAAAGACTGATGAATTCCTAAATACAAGAGAGTGGAAAGGATGAAATTGATAAACCCCAACAACATATTCATCTATATATTTCAATTCACGTGTTTTGTTTCTTCTTGCCCATTGATCATCACATGCATACATATTTACTTTTCAGTCTTTTTCATTTGAAACTCAATAATTTGTTCTCAAGTCTTAATTAATCAATAAATTACATAACTGTATAGGTCGTGAGTCTCTTGGGAAATGATACTTGGTCTTACCAGGATTGTTACCTAATACAATTCGGTTACACTTGCCGAGGGGTAAACAAGTTTTTGGCGCCGTTGCTGAGGACTCGTGGTTTAACTAGTCTATTTGTGTGATTTTTGATTATTTTTGACTTGTGAATTTTGTTTTTATTTTTCTGTTTTTATTTTTCTGTTTATTTTTATTTTTCGGTTTTTATTTTCTATCTTCTTATCTTTTCAATTATATCTTTTGATTATTTCTTCTCTTTTCTATCTTTTTGTGCTAACAAAATTATTCTAGGGTTTTGTTTCCTTGTGCATGCAGGGTAATATTCGAACTAGAAGAAAAAAGATTTTTGAACCTCTTCTTGAAGGTCTGGACGAAAGTAGAAGGAGGAGGAAAGTTCAAACTTCAAGAGAACTATTCCCTTCTCCTTAGACACTCTTACAACCTTCACCACCAAGGTCTTACCATAACACTGAAAATATGGCAGAAGAGAATAATGGTAGACAGACTCTTGCACATTACACCACTTTTGTTGGCCCTCAACATTTTAACAGTATAGCAAGGCCGAGGGTTAATGCTGCAAACATGGAGGTGAAACCAGCATTGATACAATTGGTGAAAAGCAATCAGTTTAATGGGCTATCACTTGAAAGCCCATATGAATATCTCACTACCTTCAATGAAATTTGTAACACCAAGATAAATGGAGTGCCGGATGAAGCAATCAAGCTTAGCTTGTTTCCTTTCTCATTGGGAGGAAATGCTAAGTTGTGGTTAAATTCTTTTCTAGAAGGTAGTTTTACAAAATGGGAAGTTATGGTTGCAAAGTTTTTGAACAAATACTTCTCACAATCTAAAGTCAACAAAGGGAAGGAAGAGATCTGTTCTTTCAGACAAGGAATGGAGTAGACATTAGGTCAAGCATGAGACAGGTACAAAAGCTTTTTGAGAAAGACTCCCATGCACGGTTTTGATGAAGTAGTAATAGTTCTACTTTTCCTTGGAGGTCTTGGTTCACAAACCAAGTTGATGTTAGATGCCTTAGCTGGAGGTAATATTAAATGTAAGACTCAAGAGGAAGCAATAGAATTGATAGAGAACATGGCTCCTAATGACAATGAAATGCATAGTGAAAGAGGAGCCTTTGTTCAACCGAAAGAGGATCTACAATTGCAGTCAAATGATGCCTTGCTTGCTCAAAATAAGATTATAACTCAATAGTTAGAGAATCTAACAAAGACACTTGCTCAATTGCCAAAGGAATTAAAAATTGTTGCTCAAGTTCAACAACAGATGTGTGAACTATGTGGTGGTAACCATATTAATGGTCAATGTGCTTTTGTAGTGGAGTCCCTAGAAGATGTAAATTTCATGAACAATCAATTTCCATACCACCAAGGTAATTTCAACCAAGGNGATAATGTGTTTGATGATTTGGTTGATGATGAAATATTGTATATTGTTTAAAAGTAGTGATGATTAATGAAAGCCATGAAATGGGTAGGGATATTGTCTGAGAGTCATTCTGTAATAATCTGCAGAATTATGTAAACTGTAACCGAGAGTTAGTATTGACCGTTCGATTTTCCTTTGAGCATCTGTCTAAACTAAATTTTTCTTCTGTAGAGAATTTAGTTAATGACGATGAGTTTAATATTATTAGATATATGTAACTGCGCGTTCGGTCTAAGTAGTGCTCGGTCTTAAACCAAGCGCTCGGTCTCGTCTCAATAATCTATCATTACCAATTTTTAAAATAAGAGCGTTCGGCCAAACCAAAATAGCGTTCGTTTTCTTCATAGTATCTCGTCAGTTATTAGTATTTGGTGTCAAACAGTATCGGTCTCTTTAATGTTAGTCTCATACTAAAAGCTAAGTATAAATAGTGTTCGTTTTCTTCATAGTATCTCGTCAGTTATTAGTATTCGGTGTCAAACAGTATCGGTCTCTTTAATGTTAGTCTCATACTAAAAGCTAAGTATAAATAGCGTTCGTTTTCATCATAGTATCTCGTCAGTTATTAGTATTTTGTGTCAAATAGTATCGGTCTCTTTAATTGCGTAAACAATTGTGTTGTTTGCATTGAAGATTTGGAGGCATTACTTGTATGGAGCTACATTCCAAGTTTTCAGTGATCACAAGAGTCTCAAGTATCTCTTTGATAAAAAGAATTGAATATGAGGTAGAGGCGATGGTTAGAGTTTTTGAAAGATTACGAGTTTGAATTGCTTTATCATCCAAGGAAGGCTAACGTAGTGGCTGATGCGTTGAGCAGAAAAGAAGTTCATGTCTCAGCAATGATGGTAACAAAGCTAAGCCTGGTGAAGAACTTTAGAGATTTAAGACTGCAGTTTGAGTTAGAACCGAACAATATAAGATGTTACAGTCTTAGATTATCCAGTGATTTGTTTGATCGAATCAAGGAGAAGTAGTTGGTTGATGAGGATCTACAAAAGAACTTAGGATTGATTGACACAGAAAAAAGAAAGGATTTTAACACAGGGGCGGACGGTCTCTTAAGGTTCAGAGGCAGGACTTGTGTTCCTAACGATGGAGAGCTGAAGAGAATAATTCTTGAGGAGGGACACCAAAGTCGTTTTAGCATGCATCCAAGCATGACTAAGATGTATCAAGACCTCAAGAAATCTTTTTGGTGGACTGGTATGAAGAGTGACGTGGCTCAGTTTGTGTCTTCCTGTTTAACCTGTCAGAAGGCAAAAGCAGAACATCAAAGATCGGATGGTCTACTACAGCCATTGGAGATTCCAGAATGGAAGTGGGAGAGCATCTCTATGGATTTCGTGACCCACTTACCCCGTACGGTCAGGAATCATGATTCAATCTGGGTTATAGTGGATCGGTTGACAAAGAGTGCACACTTTCTTGTTGTCAACTTGAAGATATCTATGACAAAGTTGGCTCAACTTTACATCCAAGAGATCATTCGGTTGCATGGAGTTCCATCTAGCATCATCTTAGACCGAGACCCCAGATTTACCTCTCGGTTCTGGCAATCGCTTCAGCAAGAATTGAGGAGTCGTTTACAGATGAGCTCAGCCTATCATCCCCAAACGGACGGTCAATCTGAGAGAACAATTCGGACGCTTGAAGACTTGCTAAGAACGTGCGTATTAGATCACTTGGGTGTTTGGGACGAAGTACTACCTTTGGTTGAATTCACCTACAACAACAGCTTTCAGTCCAGTATTGGAATGGCACCCTTTGAAGCTCTTTACGGGAGAAAGTGTAGAACACCACTTTGTTGGTTTCAAGAGGGAGAAGTGGTGTTAACTGGACCTTAAGTTATTCAGCAGACGACCGAGAAGGTGAATTTGATTCAAGATAGGTTGAAAGCGTCTCAGAGTAGGCAGATATCTTACGGAAATAAGAGGAGAAGACCTCTGGAGTTCACTGCAGGAGATCACGTTTTCCTTAGGCTGAATCCAACTACTGGCGTTAGTAGAGTCGTTCGGCCTAAGAAGCTATCTCCCAAGTTTATCGGTCCTTACCAGATTCTAAGGCGAATAGGATCGGTTGCATACGAGATAACCTTGCCTCCACAGTTATTCAACCTTCATCCAGTCTTCCATGTTTCTCAACTCAGAAAGTA